CGTTCAAATTATATAATCGACGTACTTAAACGGAAAATAAATGAGTGTATTTTGCCAAAAAATAGTAAATCTAGACACTTTTGTAATTTTACTCACCGTATTTAGTCTTTTGTTGCAAAAAGTTTGGGGCTCTTCCACCTGGGGCATATGTGCAGCGCCCCGAGACTCCCCAATGGGTGGAAGGCATTCAGATGGGCTGAATGCGTGTATTTCAGATAACAAGAAGGAATCAACATTTGACTTGGTCCAAAGGCCGGCCGATGCACATGGGTATCAAGTGGTCACATGTACAAAGCATTAAAATGTACGGTTGCAGGTGGAGAAAACCAATACTGAAGTCGTAATATTTGCATTCTTCTGTCACCATTGTAATTTCTCACAGCTTGTCTTTTGGTAGCTGGAGGGACTAAGCTTAACCGACATCTTTATTTAGACAAAGTAGGCGGAACTATGGCCATGGCTTTGTTTGTAGACCAGTCCAAAATACATGTCACACAGTTGCCATAGGGGCAGCTAGTCATAGTCAGCCAACTAAGCATGTGTTATATGGATACGATTTGTAATTTCAGTTTCCTTGGACTTCTCACTCAGTAGAAGGAGGAATTAAGTGGAACTAAACACATATTTTCCATGAGGTGCAAAGGGGTCAAGCCTGAGTTTGGTCCGAAGGCTAGCCTACCTGTACAAAGGTCAGACGAATCTTCAAGTATCTGCCAGATACCAGATGTTACACTGTCCCTCTCTTTTATCGAGTGCTTCCTCGGCGCTCCCCTTGTTATAACACTCGCGCCAATCATCATAACGTAGTTGGTGCTGCAAGAAAGCGCATGCGAGCCAGCCGCGCCACTTAGCAAGCACCGCGAGACTGAGAGATAGTACTTGGCCTCCTCATTGCCTCCGACAGGAATCGGGGTTACGTTTTATCTGATGGCCAAAATCGGGGCCTCATACGTCTGGTGACCAATTGCTTCCAGGACCAGACGGTGGGACTCTAATCTAACACAAATTTGCTATTGGAAAACACGATCAGGCACAATCCCGTATGTAATTATATCCGCAGCGTTATCCTCGATATATAAATGGTTGTAACAGCAGAAACTTTTCCAAATGATTCAAGGTAGCGTCGCTTCAGTTGTTGATGGTTTGTCTGTGGAAGAAGGGGAGAGGGTGAAGCCTAATGCAGGCACCATCTTCGACCCTTTTGTTGCAAAGATATCAGAGAATTTCCCACTACCGATAGAAGTTGTTTACAAAATGTCAGGTTCGCTTTCCGCTGCTAGCAGTGTAGCATTCCGAGAGAGCATTAAGTGGAACTGAGTACATGCGCTTCAGGGGGAGCAAAAGGGTCAAGCCTGAGCTTGGCCCAAAGGGCAGCCCAAGAATACAAGAACCAAACGGATCTTAAAAGTAAATGCCAGATACTAAGCATAATAGTAGTAATGCGTATCAGGTTACCGAGTCTGTAGAGCCTGCCTATCTACCCTCAGACCCCTAGACTTCGAACTTTAGGAGAGGATTACTTGAGGAAGCCCTATTCGCCAACACGTACAAATAGAGGACTTGGAGGAGGGTTGATGACGTGGAAATCCGACGTCACTCTGGATTCGTGTCCAAATTGCTTTCCACCTCTATCCTTTAGAGGCAAACTTAAACGCATTAATATAAATTACACAGTCGTCCTTCTTTCAGGCACCGTCCACGGTGCTGACCAGTAGAGTTCCATCATGTGGCTTCTCTTCTGCTAACGCAAAATTTCGTCTTCGTAACTTACCGAGGGCGGATCCGTATATGGCTTAATCTTTTAACGATGTACTGTCAGAGGCTGAACGCCGATTTCCGCATTCCGGATGAGATTATTCGTAGGTGACAGGACTCTGATTATTCGGTAGAGTTTATTGATTCAGGTTTGTTAAAATTTCCGATGGGTTCCTAGTGAAGGAACTGGTCTATACAGTTGCACCAAATCTCTCTCGTTAATGACGCTTGATCGGCTCTGCCTATCGTAGGACCCCTTTTGCCTGGCATATGCTTTCTGCAGTTGTCTGCGCGCAACAATAATCACTTCCCTGAGGCTTTCCTTTAGTCGCAAGACACACCGGAGCCCATTGTCTATCGGAACAGGGTTGTCCGGAGGGACCTTCATTTTTATGGTCTGAGAGAATCTTGAAAGGCGAGACTCCAGTTTAGGTGTAGGCGGAGGATCGGTAGGCAATTAAGGCGTGTCCTAAGTGTAGATCCCAATTCTCGGGTTACACCCCTTTGGTAAGGACCTTCAATAGGTCTACACCGTAGGCAAACGCGAGGTAAAAGGAGAAAGGTAATAACAACCGCGGTCATAATGAAAATGCTAAACTGCTTCTCAGAGTTCTCATCAACCTTTATACTAGTTTGCTAAAAACAAAAAACAATTTAATTTACAATGGAAACCACCATAAGGTAAGTCATGTGATTAGCTGCATAGCGTGATTTTTGCGTTGCGGAATTCAACACATTCGTTTGTATTTTTAAGGTACTGATTCTGAGCGAGTGTCTGGGCACCTAGCTGTGGGCACAAGTTTGCCAGCAAGTGCTCCCCTGAATCAAACTCACGAACTTTACATTGCTTTTAGACTCGTCTGGCCTTTGTACGCGTGGGCTGGCCTTCGGGCCAAGCTCAGGCCTAATTCCTTTGTTTGCCCTAGAACACACACGTTCGGCTCCTCTTTATGCTTTATATCTGATAGGAAGTCTCGGAACGCTATATCATGGACTCAATTATAAGGTCAGAGAGAAATCGAAAATATTTCGCTCATATTTTAATGCTATGTTTATACTGCCGCATGACGTTTGGCGGCATTTGTTCAACGACTTTTTAGGTGGTCGTTGGTCGTTTGTTAAAAGCGACATGGTGTCCGAGAATATCTATTGCTCAACGGACACCGCTGTCTTACTGGCATCCTGCGCTTGTATTGCCAAACTTTGCCAATTAATCGACTGATTTCCGGAAACGATGAGCAAGGGTTCGATCGAATGATGCACCGGTTCATTAAACGCAGATACCCCAAAATCGGGTGTCCATGGTCGGAAAGTTCAAAGCTCTGTTTTCACGACAAGAAGTTTATAGCCCAATCAGCAGACAAGAATGCAAAGAAAACCTACTTCATGGTGGAGAAATCCAAGATCAATAGGCGCATTTTTGGCGTTGTGCACCGGCAATCATGAGCTATACATGCGTAGAAGGAAGTCTGAAGCTATCGAAGTGCAATAGATGAAGATTCAGTGAAAATGGGACGTGATTTGAAGGAGGCGCATTTATCTTGGTGGCGGGCGAACCTCCGAATCCTTCACAATGTGAGGATTTAGACTGACTTCAGCATTTGGTTTCACCTTGTTCTCGTGTTCTACAGACAAGCTATTAACAACTGAAATGACACCGCCATGAACTATCTGGGAAAGTTAAATGCCGGAATTTCCCATATAAAATCCGTGTTTAGCTGTCGGAAATGGCACTACGGTTCTCCTTACATACGGAACAGTGGCTCATCCCGATTTCCCTGTAGCATATCTGTTTTAGACCAGAGTTCCACAGTCTAGCCCGGAAGCAAGTGATGGCCAACGGGTGTATGCAGCCTTGAATCTGGTTGTCAGACCGAATTTAACTCCAGATCCAGTTGAAGCTGTCGAGGAGATCAGGTACGGTTCCTCAGTCTCATGTTATCTGTCGACTGGCGCGATTGGCTTGTGGGTGCTTTCTTGTAGTACTGAATGTGTTGTGATGGCTGGCGCTGGAGGTGTATCAAAGGG